AGGAGAGAGAGAGAGATATATATATATATATATATATATATATATATATATATATATATATATATATATATTATATTGGCATCCAGCTGTAAAAGTAAAAATCTTATAACGCATATCCGCCTGCGATATGAAGGCGCACCCCTATGTATTTTCGATCAAACGTACCCACGGAGCCTCCACGTTCGTGTTTTTTTCCGCGAGCAGAGCAGATGGGTCACGCATGTATGACACACACACACACATATAAGACAAAACAGGACCCTACACGCGTGTCACCGCCAACAGCTGTACGTTCCAAACAATCGAACCCGTCTTTCGTTCCAGTCACGACGCTGGGTTCGCTTCGTGCTGTTGCTGGGCGACCCGCTGGTCACGTGTCAGGCGCTGTTCGGAGGTCTCCTGCTGATTGGCGGAACGGTGATTACGTCACTCATGTATCTGCCAATGGGGACGTCAGCGCGCGGTGGCTCGCTCTCGGAAACCATGGGCTCGGCGCGTGTCATTGGGCCGCTTGTCATTGGCCTTGGAGGTGAGGATGTCACATGGGGTCGGTCAGTGACAGGGACGCGTTCAGGGACCCAAGAGGTGGGATTGTTGAGCTGGAATGCTGGAATACTGAAGTGGAAGGGACTGGAGGGAATTATGATAGATATGCAATATCACTAGTTCGGAAACAGCTATTCTGCGCAGAGAGTGACGTCGGCATATAGGGACATTATGCGTCGCATTAAACCAAACCCACATGTGTGAGCGGGTGGGGTATGGTTTAACGATACCATCTACGACGCAAGCAAATGAAGCGTTTGTTTCGGCTGATCAACGCGTGCGTTTCACAAAAGAGAACCGTCGGTTTGGTTCCTCCCTAACTCACTAGGTTTTCCGTAGTTTGTCTGCTAGTCTGTACCATTTTGCACCTGATGCCCCTCTTTTGATTTACACAAGTCTGCTAGTAATCTGACATAAAGTGTCGCCGGTCTAGTAGTATAAGACGTCTGTGCGGATTACGTTCGGTTCATTATCTTCAGCCTGACCCCTCAAAACAGCTATAGTCCTATTCGCCAGAGCCTCAACCTTCATGTATACCTGCCTAGACACAGAACGAAGCCATTGCGGAAATATGACGCCTCCGAGAACTCGTGTGGCTATGATGACGTGCCCCTTAATGCCAGGACGGGACCTACGGCGTCATGACGAGGCCCGCTAGCCCTGTGTCTGCGGGGACAGGACTACATGGCCCTGCTCAAGGTCCCGCAATGGACATAGCCGAATGGTGGAGCGCGTATACCATCTACCGGTAGCCTCTACCCTCGACGAGCGAGACGCTTTGACATGTGCTCTGTGAAACTGTCGTTTGGTCCGACTGCGTGCGGACTTTTTCGGAAATAGTGTCAGCGTATGCTGTGCAATTTTCGCCTTCATAGTGGTCGAGTTAAATCTGAGAATCTGACGCTGAGATTACTGGGAATCACTAACAGGCTCCTACAAAGCGAACGATATGGCATGCAGACGCGTGCTTGACCCCGGGTGGAATCGGAATCGATCCCAGGAACCCCCAAACTTTCATGGATTCCCGGAACCACGGATTCTGTCAATTTCTCTCGTGAATCGGAGTCAGAGCTGGACCGTCTAAATCGCCAGCAACTCTACCAATGTAGAGATGTGAGCAGGTAGCAGGCTATAAAAGTACGCTATGACAGTTAACGTGCGCACCGGGCGAGTCACAGTCACACATGTAGCCTGCTGGCAGTCTGTACCATTCCCGCGTACTTTGGGTCCTCTCCGGTGGCGACCGAGATGTACGGTCGCACACAGATAACTGCTCAGGCGGAACACTGGCGCCTGAAACATACCCGCCGGTTCACCTCGAAAAAAAGACATACGCCTGGCCCGGGATAGCGGTCGTCAGCACACCCTGCTCCCCGTTTGGTTTAGAGTCGGGTCATGTGCTCTCCCGTGTGTTCAGGGCAAATACAGCCCCGGGCGTTCATCACATCAAGGTGCGGTCGGCACTACCACCGGTGTAGTCCGCCATGCTTGTATTCGAACTTGAGCTTGGCTTGGTTCGGCTGTCTGGATTTGAGCCCATTCGGCCAGTCATCATGACCCTTCTAGGGCTGTGGGACGAAGGAGAGTGCATGACGGCCGAGCAGAAGTGCACACACCGGTGATCACTTCTCCCAAGCTTAGCCCGCACAGGGACTCCTCTGAGGGATCGCGCTCGGCGCACGGACGGAGCCCCACCCGGCATAGGCAGATCCTGGGGGGAGGGGGCACGGGGCCATGCCCCCCCCCCCCAAGAAACTCTGAAAGTATGCTTTGGCCACCCCCCCCCAAAAAAAAAACATTCCTAGAACTTCATAAAGCTTCGTCTACTTACCGTCTGTTTTAACTTGATGGTGCGGTATCAAACATTTCTTTCCGTTTCGGAAAAAACTTCATGAAGAAAAGCTAGCAGCGATTTGGATTTCAAAACAAAGCGCATGTTGACGCGGCTTAGTCACACTCGGCGCAAACATCGTGTTTGTTACGTGCACTGGACCTCGGATCCCACACAAGCCAGCTGGCGACAAACGGTTGCCCCCCCCCCCCCCCCCAACAAAAACTCTAGGCTAGATCCGCCCCTGCCACCCGGGGACGCTTGGGCCCACTCGTTGATGGCGCATGCGATTCCTTCGGATTACTGGAGTGTCGCGAGGATGCAGGATGAAACAAGAATGAGTGAAGCTGAATGGGTGAACTTTGACCTCATCCGGAAGCCGTGCTACTGGTCTAAGTTGACCCTTGACATTGACAGATGACCGTTGACCTTGACAGTTGACCATTGATCTTGACAGTTGACCATTGATCTTAACCGCTGACCCAGCTCCTGACTCAGCGGCCTTCTATCTAGATCTATCTATCTATCTATCTATCTATCTATCTATCTATCTATCTATCTATCTATCTATCTATCTATTCTATCTATCGGCCACTAGACGTCCCTCCAACAAACGCGGCCCGCCGCAGCTGTGTTTCTGGGCGCGAGTGTCATCAGCCACCAAATTCTGTTATCGCGCGACCGACGCCGGCGGCGGCAGCGGCGCAAGCAGAAGCTAAGCGGCGATGCGACGTGCCCGCCATCTGTCCGTCGCGCCCGGAAGCTCCCCTCGACTCTCCGGGAAATCGCAGGTCAGCAGCGCCTCTGCGTTGGTCACGTTTTCTGGGTGTGTACGCGTGAGTCGATGTGATGCGAGCCGTCTTGGTAGCTGAACCACTTGGACTACCAAAGGCATTATGTCTCTCGTTGCCTGCCTTTATGGAGCAATATGGGATGTTTGGCCATAAGTCTTGCTCTTACGCGCTGTCATGACTTGTGAAGAAATGGGACGTTTTTTTAGGAACTAACATAGCCCGATCTGTGTGACGAGTGACCTTAAAATGATGACGCATTTGGGTTTGTTTTGTATACGTATACACCAAGGGCATAAACAGCGCAGGCGTCCAATGCCATGAACGTTCGATCCCAAAATCTGCAAGCTTCCTTTAGCCATTGACAGGCTCTACCACAACTGCCACCGTGTTCTCTCCATCTCTCCGTTCCAGCGGGGCCTCGGCCGCCGACGCCAAGCGGTTCCCCATCCGTCCACCAGGTGTCAGCCCGGTCGCCCGCCGGGGCCGGAGCGGAGCAGTGGCCCGGTAGGGAGGCCGCTACCGCAGCTTCCTCCGTGTAGTTGGCTGAGACGGCGCGGTGCTCCCGGTCCTGATGCGGACTTGGGCGGGTTCTGTTGCGGCGGTGGCAGTGGTGATTGGTGCTACGCGCAACGTGGGATGCAGACGATCACCAATAGTTATCGCCTGGTGTTCGTGTTTGGCTTCCCGTGACGCAGCGCTGTCGCTTATTGGTCCGTGTTTCTGATCACCGAGGAGAAGTTCTGCGTTTTCTCGATATGGCTGTCTGACTGGTTTGGGTATCGCGCAACAAGTGTGGATAGAGGAAACCGTTTGTACTTGAATACATGTACGTCTTTCAACGCGGGTAGACTTTTCACCAGCGTTTAAGAAAAGGTACAGCGAACTTGTGCCCGTGCTTTCCGGCGCCCCCGACCGCCGAAACTGGCTTTGTGTCGGCGTCCGTGCGTTGCTGCACTGAAAAGACAACGCACAATCCTGGTCACTCACGCTCTTGGGTCAGAACGCTCAGTATCAATCGTTCGCCCATTGGGCCTCATTGCGTAACTTAGCCTCTCGGGTGGTAGGCTCGTGTCTATCTAAAGCTCATTAAACATACTGTTCGTAGAAAGGGCACGTATACCATACCTAGCCAAACAAAACGTTCAAGCTCTAAAGCGCAGTTAGCACTGAATCATACCACATCAGGCTTTGGTCGAAGTCTGACTTGTGATAATGCGAAAGAAGGCTACGAAAACTTTGATAGATGAGTGTGTTATGGGAAATTGCCCTCAGCTTTACAAATTTGATCCTGGTGGATACCTATGCAGTACGCTCGCAGCATTAAATCAAGGAAGCCAGCGAAGCCCTCAAAAATATCACACCATTGACTCTGGTCGGCAGACCTATCTCCTATTATGCTCGGCTGACCAGAGGCCAGCCAAGTCTCAAACCCGGAAGTTTTAAACACATCCAAATTGTATAGCAAGCTGTGCCCCTGAGTACACACGTTGGTTTCATAGCCACCAGACCGACGAGAAGTGGACCAATATTTCTGCCGTAACCCTGTGAGGCCATGTTGTGAGGAGTCCTCTTTGCTCTCCGTTCTATGACGCACTAGTCGGCACCTGAAACCGTCCTCTATGTTGCACAGAGTAAACAATTCAGTGAACCATTCAGCAAACCAGTCAGCAAACAATTCAGCAAGCAATTCAGGAAACACACAAAAAACAATTCAGCAAACATCAGCAGCAAGTCAGCAAACATCAGCAAGCAATTCAGCAAACATCAGCACACAATTCAGCAAACAATTCAGCAAACATAAGATAACCATTCAGCAAACATCAGCAAACAATGCGGCAGTATCCACCCAACGCTAACCCGAGCGACAAAGCACAAACGACACAGTGCACCACAAATGTAAATCATTGTAAAAAGCGGCTACAATCTCGACGCACTCAAATATCACCAGCCACAAAGACAGTCGTCATTTTCGCCACAAAGACAGGAGCGGTGTCCCAGAGTGCCCCAATTCAGTGATCTCGTGAAACTCGCTGTCATAGTGCCGCGAACTGTGGCCGTGGGGGGGGGGGGGGCACGCTGTTGGGGGAGTAGGTCCCTTACCGGCATGTCGACCTGCTTTGACGAGAAACGTGTCAGGTGACGGATGATTGGCCACTGACGCGAACAGTGCCGACAGTGCAACCAAGGATGTTATTAAGCGTGGATGGGAACCGCTCGCTGCCTGCCGTAACCAGACAGGTTACTGAGATCGACATTGAGGTCATGGCATGGGCCTGTACCAATCCTTGGTGCAAATGATATGAACATAGTCGGTACGAGTACCATATAAAAGTTCGTCATTCATCAAATATGATGATGATGGTGATGATGTTTCGCAGTGTGTGATGCCTGATTCGTCATTCATCAAATACGATGATGATGGTGATGATGTTTCGCAGTGTGTGATGCCTGATTCGTCATTCATCAAATACGATGATGATGGTGATGATGTTTCGCAGTGTGTGATGCCTGATGTGTGATGGCCCCCCCCCCCCCCCCCCTGCTTGCCAGGAGGGGTCGAACAAGCCTGTTGGTGGGACGGAGGGCGCGGATTACCCCAGATCTGTTTAAGAAGGCGGTTCGCGCAATCGACTAGTTCAGAATTCCGTCACGTGGTGCGCTGTTCCTTTTTATTTATTACCTTTTTACATTCATACAATTAATTTGTTTCCCTTTCGTCTTTTAGCTTATGTGAAGGGGGACTGAAGCCTCCAACTGAAAAGGAAATGACATTCCTGCCCTTATGCTTTTTAACTTTTATCTTCTCGACCTTTGACCAGTTTGGCTTTTACCTCTTTAACTTTGGGCATTTGACTTAAATAATTTCAATTTTTCGCCAGTTCACTTTTTTGATTTCTGACTTATTGTCATTGATTTTTATACCTTTAAAATTTTGGTTCTTTCTCTTACTGGCTCTAGACGTTTTGCCTGATTATCGATTTTGTTGATCACCATGGCTCAATTGCCCCTGTGATGAGTTCAATTTTTAAAATTTACATCCTATTCTAGCACGGCCCAAAATCTGATTTCTCCTTTGAGTTATGTCTCTCTTAGTCACTTCTTTGATGACAGAATTAACGAAAAACTTTCTCAAATTTTTTTCTTTAAGTGTTTTAAGGCTGTTTTGCTGCGGAAAAATGATTTTGCATTTCAACGCAACGAGAACGCGCATTTCTGCGAACAGATCGTAACTTTTAGAAAACAGCAGTGCGTAAACATAATATGGTACAGTAATCAGCAGTCCGTTTATTAACCTACTAATGTTCAAAACATGTGATGGGCTAAGAGCAGACAAATTTGTCGACCTTCCCCTATAACTTACCTATCCTGCAATGTTTCTTATTTGTACGTTACGTCTGGCGTTCCCATTTTGTTAAACGTTCCCACAATTATGGCGCCAAACACGCTCCTCGACACAATGTGCCCGTGGTTTCTCCTGCGTGGCATGATGGCTTCCGCCGCTGAGACGGGACTTATCCTTCGTGTGAGACTGGCGCCGCCTCAGCCAGATCCGTGAGTCACGCGCAATCGGCGTGGTGATGGATCCTGCAGTGTCCTGGGATCTGCACATGAGCCATGTCGCCTGGCGTTGTTGCTGCACATGAGCCAAATCACTAGACGTTGCCGCTGCGCATGAGCCAAGTCACTAGACGTAGCCGCTGCGCATGAGCCAGGTCGGTGCACATGAACCAAGTCGGTGCACATGAGCCAAGTCAGGTGTACATGAGACAAGTCGGTGCACATGAGCCAAGTCGCTAGGCGCTAACTCCGCACATGAGCCATGTCGCTGGGCGTTGTTGCTGCACATGAGCCAGGTCGGTGCACATGAACCAAGTCGGTGTACATGAGACAAGTCGGTGCACATGAGCCAAGTCGCTAGGCGTTAACGTCGCACATGACCCATGTCGCTAGGCGTTGTTGCTGCACATGAGGCAGTTCGCTAGGCGTTGTCGCTACACATGAGGCAGGTCGCTAGGCGTTGTCGCTGCACATGAGTCAAGTCGGTGCACATGAGCTAAGTCGCTAGGCGTTATGGCTGCATATGAGCCTTTCGCAGTTGGCAAAATAGTTCATAATAACGGTTGACGATTTTGCTCTTTGCCAATAAAAATCCGAGTAAGTATGTGCAGGGCACAGATCGGAGCAGCAGCTGTTGTCCCGTCCACCACACACAGTGGGACAGGAGTCGTCACGTGCGGAGCACACAGTGGGACAGGAGTCGTCACGCGCGGAGCACACAGTGGGACAGGAGTCGTCAAGTGCGGAGCACACAGTGGGACAGTAGTCGTCACGTGCGGAGCGCACAGTGGGACAGGAGTCGTCACGTGTGGAGCACACGGTGGGACAGCAATAGTTGTCACGTGAAAGCGCAAATAACCTTTGCATTCGACACGCCCTTTAAACTCAATAACTTGTAATGTGCAGAGTACACAGTGGGGTAGCAGCCTAGCGTCACGTGCAGAGCACACAGTGGGGCAGCAGTACGCCGTCGGGGTCCAAAAACGTGGCATTGATACCGCCCACACGCAGCTCGGCCACAATTTCGTGCTCCAGCTCAGCAAACCCGTCCGCCAGGATCATGTCCCCGCCTGCGGACGGGAACACAGCATCACAGTGAGTACACGTCACTGGCGCATGCGTGACAGTGGTGAAAACACGCCACTGGCGGGTACATGCCACTTATGGGTGCGCATTACTGGCTGGTGGCTTTGGTGAGACAAATCGTTGATCGATGCATGTTAATGCATGCATCGACCAGTGAACGCTATAAACATTTGGTGATCAGACATCACTGTTAGGTTGCAGAATTATTAGATACGCAGAAGCTGTGAACGCGAGGTAATAATGGGCGCATATTCATGGCGCGGCCTATGCCACTGACAAGGGTCATTTCTGCATGCTCAAAACAAGGTCGCAGGTCCAAGACTATCTCCTAAGAACTGATTTTTGAATCAGAGTCATAACGAACATCCCTGCGGGATGTGTCGCAGATTACTGACGTAAGTGGGAAAACAAGGATATTCATGGTGAATTCCCGACATGCAAACGTTTCCCACAGCATACCAAAAGTTGTACGCCAATAAGATTTAATAATCCAGAAACACTTGACGCTCTGACCACACGCTTGCTCTGACCTGCAAGGAACGCTCCGAAGAAGCCGTAGGTGCCGTAGTCGAACACGGTGTGGTTGCAGGCGGCCAGCAGAGCCAGGTCCCGTCCAGGACCAGGCGGCTCGGTGCGGCTGTCACCGAGCACGTGAACGTCTTTGGCCTGCAGGTGCTCCCTGAGAGGAGGAGCTGCCATGAAACAGGCCGCGTGTCCGAACGCGTGGTGAGTAATCTGGGTCTTGCTTATCTTGTCTTGCTTACCTTACGTAGCCTTATTTCTTATCACGTCCATTAGCTCACCAGCACCGAGGTCAAAACGACACGGCCTGTGAATAGCTGTTTGAGGAAAGAGAGTTTGGGGCATAGGACACCGGTTCGAAAGGACTGTTCTCGTCGACAGCGCCCAGTCGTCACTTGTCAAACGGAAAGAGGTAAAAGAAACACATGAAAATGGCTTACCTGCACCAGAAAAGGTCATTTCTCGCCTCAGCAACCAGTTTGTAGAGATTTACTACCTGACAATCCATCATCACCAGCCTGAGTGGCCAGCTCGCCTCCACCGGATCAGGTCATCATTCGTTTCAGTGATCACTTCACATGCACCAGGATAGGTCACTAGCAACCTCATTGAAAGGTTTATCTGCACCAGATCAGGTCATAACTCGTCAACAAACAGCTCACCTGCACCACATCGGTCGTCACCCATCAGTGAACAGCTCACCTGCACCAGACCAGGTCATAACTCGTCTGCGAACAGTTCAGCCGCAACACATCAGGTCACCACTCGTCAGCGAACAGTTCATCTGCACCACACCGGTCGTCACTCATCAGTGAACAGCTCACCTGCACCATGACAGGTCGTCACTGGTCAAGATGAACAGTGGGTTCTTGTATCGCCGCCGACACAGCTCCATGGCAGCTGTGTAGAATGAGACGCTAACCGGTTTGCCACGGAACACAATATGCAATGGAAGATGGGCGTCAACTCTTTTTTCCAGAGGACACATTTACCTGTTAAATGACGTGCCCACAACACTTAACAATTGTTGACACACTCCCGGGAGGCCGGTTGAATGCCCTTCGTTCGGGTGGGGTTAATTTGTCCCCTGAGACCTCATAAACTAAGAGAGTTATAGACATCAATTTCGCGGTGTGTCTTAGCCTGTGCGCGGACTTACTTAAGTTAAAATTTGAGGTTCCTGAGTCATGAACTTCGGGTTAGACGAGGTCAAACAAGTCAAACTCCAGGTTGGCGTACAAAGTGCCCCGGAACCTTGATACCTGTTCTAAGATTGCGCTAGGCAGCATGTTCCTAAAAACGAAACGTTGGCCACGGTCACTTGATATCAGTGACCTGTTTCAACCTTTAAGAAGTCTATGGAAGATGTGTAATGCGGTTTCTGTTATCAATAAAAATAATAAATATATAATAATATAATATAAATAAAAAATATATAAAAAATAAAATATAATAAAATAAATGATATAAATAAAATAAAATAAACTGGAAATGAGCACCGGAAACTACCTCATACAGCAAGCTCTAAAGAAATAAAGCAGGTTGTTTTTTTACCTTGGTCTAGCCTTCATATCTAACCCTAGGCCGATGGAATTTGTTTATTCAATTGTTGTGTTTCATAAGGAACTGCTTCGGAGATGTATGGCTTCGTCTAACACCATGTTGTTGCATCAGATTGAGCCATTTCATCATTCGAAATCGTTTTCGCTGAATCCGTGGCCTGACTTTGACCTGCCGGGGGTCAGCGACCTTACAAGGTGCACCTAAGTTTTTTATCTAAAACGATTCAGTAGTCAATTTTCTACAGTTGTGGAAATTTTGGAGCGGCTACGCCTCACCCTTTGGAAACCATTCCAGAAAACCTTGGGGGACGTCCAACTGACCCACGAGCGAGTGTTAAAGGGAATGTTTCACACATGAAGATATTGAAGCAAGCCTGAGATATGATGAAGCAAGCTCACTTGTTTCTACTGGTATCCTTCAAGGTGGAAAGGACTGCTCTAGACAGCGTAGTTTTCTGTTCAGTAAATGTGATCCCCAATGGCTCATAGTGATTGACTGCGTCATCGTATCCCACACAACACTGATTGAGAGCCAATTGACGGCCATTATATCTGGACATCACGCCCACAAACGCCAAATATAAACGCCTCGATATGCCTCCTGTGTCCCTAAGCCTCCAACTCGTAGGATGCTGAAAATGTACCGTATAATTGGTAATGCCAAGTGCGCCTTTGGAAGAGCGTGGTAGAATCCACATTACATTTGGTGGTTAGTTGTCGGCAAGTCAAGGCGTTGTGGGACCAGGTGTAGAGTGCTTTCAAGAGGGGCAGTGGGGAACATCAGGCGAGCAAACTTACAGCTGCATTAATTTTGGTGGAATTTATGCCGGTGGGAAATACCGATCTTCATTCCGATCTCAAACTGTTTTTGTTGCTGACCAATTTGCGGCGTTGGAAAGAAAGCACACGTGAGTGTAGCCTGACTGTCTCATTGTTTCTGATAAATTTAAAGGCCTTTCAAGAAGTGTAAGCGTGGGTTTATGCGATGAAAGGTGGAACCGAGGAGCTCATGTCACTGTCGAGCGCAACTGAAAAGAAAGTGAGGGCGTTGTAGTTCCATGCAGCTATCAAGGTTCAGGTGAGCTTGTGGTCCTTATGTGTATGGGTGTTCTATAGAGAAGAGAGCTAGAAATGACCTCAGGATGGCACTAGATCGATAAAATATGTGTGCAGTGCGAGTGTGAAGGAGAGCGGGAGGCGTGGAGGGAGGATGAGCTCGAATGATAAAACTAACAACTGGCATTGATAGGCTGAATGATGTAAACGAAGATGATGCACGTGATGTGATAATGATATGTAACGGTGCCGCTGTGTCCTACGTAGGTCGCATAGAGTTTTCAGCTAGATATAGAAATGTTAGGACATTGAGGCCAATTAATGAGACCGGTGTAAAAATGACGTAATTTTGCAGCGAAAGCCTAAAATGCGACAATGCTCAGCACAGTCCACCGTACGCTCTAACGTCAACCGACCTGTAGCGATGATGATGTTTACCTTGAGGTGGGAGGCGTAGTCTGTCCTTCGCACGTGCACACCGACGAACGTCAGCCCTGTTCGGCCTCTGCTCACGTTCAGCAGCTGCAGCTGCGCGTCCCGAAATAGATCCGGCCTGGCACAGAGAGACGGAGGGGTTTATCACACACCGCGCTCATGGACCGCAGGGCCCGGGTTCGAGGCCAGGAGGGTGCTGGATTTATTGTGCACAGCACAACAGCCGACCGGGGTGATGTTCCGTTAGCAAAGATGGCCAGGCAGATTGGATGTGTAACGTGAAACAGAGCTGAAAGTTTCGAAGAGTACGGTGATACGTCCCAACTCATTCTCACACCACCAGCTGACCCTCCTGCCGCCCCCTCTCCCTTTTCAGCTGCCCTAGGCAAGATCCTCCTAAGCTTCTGACCCCTGACCCCGGCCCTCACCTGATGGCGAATTCGTCGCGCAGCTGGTGCCGGTAGCGCCAGAAGAGCCGCACGTGGTGCGGATACTGATCGATGCGCCAGCTGTGCGCGCGCCGCTCCTCGTCGCTGAGCTCCTCGAACGGGCCCACCAGGATCGGCGAGTGCTGCTCGGCACACGCGTCACTCACCACAGGGAGTGTCGTGTTGGGGGACACGTGACGTATGAAGCGCAGCAAGGACGGCGTGGCCACCGCCGTCAAGTTGTACCTGGCGGAGGTGGCGAGAGTCACATCGTGTCAAGACGGGTCATGGCGGGTCACGGCATGTCACGGCATGTCACGGCGAGTAACGGCGCGACGTTGCAGTAACGTAACGGAACGTTGTGGGACGCTTCGAGAGGTCACGGTAAGTCAAGAAAACACCGCAGTATGTATAGAAAATGCTTAGCTCAGGAAAACCTTGGAGTCAGGAAAATGCTTGGCTAGTCACATGGATTTTCCACTTAAGACTCAGCTAGTCACAATGACTCCCCACCTAAGACTCAGCTAGTCACAATGACTCTCCACCAGGGACTCAACTCGTCACGAGGACTTTCCACCTGGGACCCACCTCGTCACGAGGACTTTCCACCTGGGACCCACCTCGTCATCGTGGCTCCTCACCTGAGTCCCAGGGCGTAGATGGTGGCATACTCCGCCAGGTTGTTGCCCAGCCGTCCGGCCGAGTGGGCCGAGATCACCGGCGCAGCCGGACACTCCTGCCTGACGAGCGGGGTCGTCACAGCACCGTGACCTGAGCTGGGACTGCCCGTTGGCGACCTGCGTCACGGAAGAATAGCGGGGTTGTGAACGACACTTTCGATGTACTGTTTACGAAGAAGCGGGGTCGGTAGAGTGATGAGCTGCAGGGGCAGCTGGTTCCACCTCTGAGACAGTGCGGAAATTACTATTACATCGTTGCCACAATTTTCACAGAGGCTCCGTCGGAATTCTAACTGAATGAATGAAGCTGTCTTTTTTCCTGCCAGATGGATACCATAGGTGGGAAGAGAATTTCAAGACATTAAAAAATGCAGCATAAAGTCGTGTGGATAACTTAACTCAGCCGAACGTGTAGTTGTGCCGGAAGAGGTCAAGAAATCTGGCTGTCTGATCATGACGGAAGCCGATGTTGTGTGGATACCTGCCGAAGATGTCAGTGAGTAGCGACTCCTGATCTGAAAACAAAATCAATGCACAGTCTGGGTCGATCTCAAGAACCTTTTTACTGGTTGTTTTAGAAACTCAACTGCTTCTAGATCCAAACCATACATAGCTTGTAGCTGTGCTGATTCAGGCCTCCCGGCACCGGGTCAGTAGCTGACGGGTTATCGGCTGACCCAGTCAGCCATCAGCTGACTCATTCAGCCATCAGCTGCCTCGTCCCAAGGCCCGCGGCGGGCAGATATATGACCTATTTTGATATTTTCACAAGGCCATTGAAATGCTCTCGAGTCCAGAGGAAGTTGAAAGACCTTAGCCGTACTCGACGGGCAGTGTGAGTCACCTGACGCCCATGCATGCGCATCGCTGCTGTGTTGTAACAGACGAGGTTAACCGCCGGGTTGACCTGATCTAGAATGGCCCGACCGCGAGGGTCACGTTGTTTCCCCCCCCCCCCCCCCCCCCCCACCCCCACATCAGGGGCGGGCTACAGTGGCATGCATCTCATTAATAGCCATGGAATGTTATGTGACGGCTACGGCGCTGCTTGGAAAAATAAACCTCAAATTGCACCTGCTTGCTCTCCCCCTCCCACACCCATTAGCAGCCGGTGATGTTGGCCATGTAGCGTAGCAATATGCCTACATTTATGAGCCCGTGATGCCATGAAGGCCTAAATCATCGGCGTCGACCGGGCATCGTTCCCCTGGACGTGCGCTCTAATGTACAGCTCCCATATTACCCGATTAATGCATTGTCGTCGCAGCGATGGATGGTCTCTTGTGAGGCATGCATCTGTCGCCGGGCTGCTGTTGTCACCAAACTGGTTTTATTTAGAGGTACATATTGACCTCAGGTCAGCGCCTCATGTACCGCTTGGCAGAGGACTGGGATGCACAATCTTCGTCCAGCTCTCTTCCCTCCCTCCCTCCCTCCCTCCCTCCCTCCCTCCCTCCCTCCCTCCCTCCCTCCCTCGCTCCATCCTTCCCTCCTCCCCTCCCCTTTCACTCCCTCTTTCACTCTCTCTCTCTCTCCCTCGCTCTCCTGCTCCTTCCCTCTCTCCTTCCCTTCCTCCCTCCCTCCATCTTTCCTTCCCTCGCTCCATACCTCTCTCCTTTCCTCCCTCTTTCACTTCCTATTTCACTCCCTCACTCCTTTCTTTCCTCCCTCCTTCACTTCCTCCCTTTTTCCCCCACTTCCTCTTCCTCTCTCCCTCCTTCCCTCTCTCCCCGTCCCCACCTCAGACGGCGGTAGTGTGATGCGAGGCATCATGTCCTGCAGCAGGGACCGATGGGGCAGCTGGACGACCAGCAGCAGCGTGCCCCCGACAGCCGCCACCGCCAGCGTCAGGCACTGACGAGCTCTTTTCGCCGCCCACCAGCCTGCGGCGGTCACAGAACGCCGAGGTCAGACCACAGGTCACGTCAGGTCAGCGGTCAGATCGAGCCAGTTTCAGTTTCGTCTCGGAGGTATCACACGGATATGAAGCCGTATAATAAGGTCGTTAGTTCAAGTGTTTTGTAAACTTTTGCCTCGCGCGACGTAACCTGACGTCTACCGAGCTAAGTTCAAGTTTTGTAGGTCCTGAAATGGCTTCAAGTGGTTTTAAGTTGTTGTTTAGAAGTTAATGCTGTATTGCCCTGACCAGAGAAGAACCTTTCTAAAAAAGCTGGGGATATTCATTTATTATTGGGCTCATTCTTTGCACGCAGTGCTATGGACCTAATGTTCATGGACCTAATGTTCATGGACCTAATGTTCATGGACCTAATGTTCATGGAGCCTAATGTTCATGGACCTAATGTTCATGGACCTAATGTTCATGGACCTAATGTTCATGGACCTAATGCTCATGGACCTAATATTCACTGCTGGAAGCGGCGTACGCGGCAAGACCAAACGAAACATTAACAGAAGCACGGCATGATAGCTCAAGATGCTCTGTGTCACCTTGAACGTGTCCATCCAGAGAAGCTCGTGACATTTCTCAGGCTCCAAGTGAAGTCAGCCTCCAATTGGCCAGCGATTCACCTTAAACCTTGAAGTCAGCTTCCAACTGGTCAGCAGTGAATAACTGGCAAATCACCTTGCGTTGCACTACCAGGGGGCCAGAACATACAGACACCTCCAGCAAGCTGCAAATCCAGATGCTACATGGTTTTCAGGTCAGTCTCTTCAGTGCGCTTGAGAGCAAGATGACCGCCGTTGTTACCTCGCTGTCGGGATACCACTCACCTCACTGTCAGGACACCATTCACCTCGCTGTCGGGAAATCACTCACCTCACTGTCAGGATACCACTCACCTCGCTGTCGGGAAACCACGCACCTCACTGTCAGGATACCACTCACCTCGCTGTCGGAATACCACTCACCTCACTGTCGGAATACCATTAGCTTCATTGTCGAGATACCATTCACCTTGCCGTCGAGATACCACTCATCTGGCCGTCGAGATACCACTCAGCTCGCTGTCGGGATACTTCTAACCTCACTGTTGGAATACAACTCATTTTGCCGTCAGGATACCACTCATTTTGCTGTCAGAATACCACTCACTTTGCTGTCGGTATGCCACTCACCTCACTGTCGGGATACCATTTGCAATACTGTCGGGATACCACTCACCTCCGCATGCGAAGGGCCGCCAACCCATCGCGTCGTAAGACTGTCCGTGGCCCCGCGCGCCTGGTGACGGCCGGGCGGCACTGCTCCGGACTGGCAACTAGTCTTCCTCTACGTTCCACTGGCGCACCGGTGCCTCTCCCCCCCCCCCCCCCCCCCCCACCGTCGCTGCTCAGCGGGCGGCCCAGTTGCTCGCCGCTGCCTATCGGCGCCGCCCCAGATTTGCGCGAGAGCGCGTGTAGTTCCAATGGCACGGCAGCCGTAGTGTTGAAACGGGCTGCACGGTGGGTGCTAGTGTGTAACGCTTGGTGCGATTTGCAGTAATTTTATGGTCGCCGTTTTCACCAACAGTTACCAAAATGATGGTGCATAGATAAGGAAGAACACTGAACTTGTCCGAAGGGTAGACGTGGCAGTGAACTATTTCGTTCAGTAATGTGGCGCAAATCAGTGAAACATGAATGCTTTGAATGTGAGCTGATTCAGTTAGACTAACAGCTTGCTATTGTGCCAGAAGCCCTCGGTGTTTGAAGACTTTTCATATTTTCTGGAAACTGTTTTGATGCCCGTTATATCAGGCACCGAGCATCCCAGAGCACATGTAAAAACTGGATGAAATTCACTTCGCCTTCGTGTAACAACTGTTCAAGGCCGCTGCGTCTAGATTTCAGATTCAGATGTGGATTCATCAAGAATCCAAAATCGTAGCGTCTCTGCCTGACACGTCAATAAAAATAACACCTTAAGGATACAAACCTGGCAATCACTTACGAAACACGAAGCGCACACACGAACACCTCAGCGACGTCTTAACAGGATCGCGAGTTTCAAATCTCCATGGAATGCTGATATGTATGGATGCATGCAGATCACTTTTGGAACGGCTTAGCACACCAACCCGGCCGGATAAACGGTCGGCGCATGCCTGCTTCAGTTCAAGCTGTGTTACTGTGTTACAGAGGCCGCGTTACGCGATTCGCATTCCGAGTGCTGCAGCCGTGTAGATCGCGAGCTACTGGCCCGCTGGCTTCGGTGATGTACTCGTCAGTGCCAGCCTGGTAACTCGTTGGACTTTGCAAACGGGGAGTGGGTGGAGGGGTGGGGGGGGGGGGTGGGGGGGGGGGGGTTACTCGGCTAATTCGGCCGCTCGCAGCCAACCGAGCCGCTCAGTGACATTTGATATTTGATCGCAACGCATGGGACCGCTGATCGCTCGCACAAAAGAGCACGATCTTCTGCGTGAGAGCGATCTGTGTCACGCCACGCGATCTGTGCGCGCTCATGCAGCAACGGGACGATGGAGGGAAAAGGGCCCGCCATGGCCGGCCTGCTCGGGTGACACGGCAGCGGCTGCGCTCGCATCACAAGCCGCTGCCTCCACCGGAGACGCTGACCCAGCCGGCAGTGCAGCGACCCCGAACTGCACTGCATTCGACGCACTGACGGACACGCCCCGAAGCGCCCTCACGCCGTTCATTCCTGGAATGAACCCGAAGTTCAGCGACCTACTGACAGTCACAAGCACCTCTATTCGGGCCGCACCCGACACCGTGCTCACAGTCACTTGTCCGGTACCCTCACACGTGTAGCTGTCTCCACTTTCTCAAGCCAGTCCATTTTGCCGAAATAGCTTGTAATGAGACGCCAAGTGTTTCACTACAACTTCTCTGTATTTTGGTCTCGCACCACAGCAGGCCCTGACGGTGCACCTAGCCTCTCCGCTCTCCCCACGGCGACTCCCCACAGCGGGGGCCGCGAGCCGAGACCGTGCGAACTGCGGCGGCGGCGCGCATCTGCCGCGCAGCCGGGGCCGGCCTGCGAACCTGACCACGCGCCGCGCCCCGCCCCAGCAGGAGCGCAGGGACACATACAACTGCACTACGAACATTGACCTAACCTACCTCAAAGCCTGATCTCTCCTCGGGTGTTGGTCACTTGAATTTGCGTCCTTGATGGAATATTTTTAAAAGAATACATTTCGTATATTTCAAATTAGTTTATTGCAGGGGAAATGCCTTCCCATTTCAAGTGAATGTGAGCCGTTTTTATGAAAAGCTTAGAAGGGGATGTAGTTTAGAGAAGATATCTTAGAAAATCTTCGTGAGGGATCACTGATGACCACCGCTGTTGCTGATCGTATTGTGTGACTACCTCAGTCGCGTTTATGCGACAAATACACTTGCCACTGCTAAGGAAATCGCCAACGTGACTGGTGTTTCACCCCGGCTCTGCGTGTATGAACCGTTCGTAGTTTGCTCAGGGATTCTCATCATACCCAACGTGTTTGTTCGCAGCGGTTACCTGACCTCTCCGGCGAAACATACTGCTCCAAGCGGGCTATGCACACCAGGTGCACCGCTAACAACACACTGTCGGTTTACCGAGGTGCACCACGTGCAGGCACGTGCCACGTTTACCGGAGTCTGAGCGCGAGTACGACTTTCCTGCTAACCAGTCGCTGGATGCTCTGGCTCTCAGGCAACGTTCTTGTCGCCATCCAGAGCGTGGATGTTGCAGCGGAGTTGGGTGAGAGGTGCAATAGGAAAAAAACAACCACATACACACACACACGCGCGCGCGCGCGCACACACACACACACACACACACACACACGCACACACACACACACACATACGCACACACACACACACACACACACACACACACACACACACACACACGCGCGCGCACATACACACAAGTCTGTCTCACGTAGTGGCTTGACACTGCTTCAGTGGCCTTCCGCTTCAGCCACTGCATTGACTCATGCCCTGATCCGTCGTTATAGTGCGGACTGGGGGGGGGGGGGGGATCGGTGCGAACCCCTACCGTTTACAAATCAAGACAGGTAGAGATCAGCGGAAAGCACCAAGGGGTTGGTTTCAATAAGGTCTCGTGATTATCAACAAGTTGTGCACTGCTTAGCCAATAATTGACCCCATTACACCGCAATTCCGCAATACAGCAAGTTTTCCCGCAATTCGACTTTATCCGCTTTACGTGCATATACATACGATGTGATCCCTTGTAGCAACACGAAATCTAAACAGGCGTGTTTCGTGTTTAACTATGCTGTATATTTGTGTCCGTTGTGAATATGCATAATCATGATATATGACTCCGTTAATGTAGTCATGTCGGCCCACCGCGCACCTTCCGCAGAGTCTTCTGTTGCGGCTCGCTGCCCGAGCCGGCCGGAGATCGCCGTGCAGTGACCCTCAGAAACCGCCGCTGCTCCGACAGCGGTATGCTCCATAGGCTAATGGAGGCTTGTGTACGATTGTACCACATGCCGGAGAGGCAGCCTCAAAAGATTAGGAGTTTGCATCTTCCCCGTACCAGGGCGAAGGTCAATGCAGAGGTCATGACCTTAGGACTGTGCTGGCTGCCCGTAACGGTCTGAATACTCCACATTCAATGGCTTGTTAGCAAAATAAGTCACATGGCTTTTTATACAAAATCTCATTATCTCGTGAGCAAAATCTGATTACCCCGCGAACTGAATCGCATTATCTCGTATTAAAAGCTCCAGACAGGTACAGGGCAACCGGAAGCATCAGACAACACGTCTGCAGCACCCTGTCTCCAGTTCGGACACAAGGGTATGTTGAAAGCATTGGGATGCTTGGCAGGTGGACCGTGCTGGGCCTCGCAACCTGCCAGGCGCACCAGTGACGTCACCGTGACTGGCCGTCCACTCCCACTTTCTGCCGAACTGCACAGTATCGCGCTGAGGCGACACACCGTTAGCATATTTTTTACGCACATGCGTTTCCTAGCAACCGCTGTCAGCGGTGATGGAAATAGTGATGACCAAAATCGCTCAGCTAATGATGTCCTGGCAAAAATGTTTCACAGTTCGTTTAACAGCTAAGGCTCCCCTGGCTGTCGGCCGTCCCATCGGCTTTGCGCAGCAGCAAGTATCGGTGGTGATTCACAAGCATGCCGAGTAGCAAGCAGACGATCAGTTGGGTGTTGGCTGCGCGGGTTGCGGCCGCCTCTGACCAGTAGCAGCCACGTCAGGGTGGTGGCCCGCCATTTCGGCCTCCGTTTTATCAGAAAGAGGCATCTACATTTTGATACCATGTTCTATCCGAAGGAATGGCCTATATTTTGTGACTGTTTTTGTCGCAGGAAAAAATCCGTCTAGGGGTGTTGCACCTTGTTTTGGGAGATAGCATTTCGAGGTCCCGAATTTGTTTCTGCCCAAAATAGTGCAACAACTCATCTTTCGAAAAGAAGGACGCAAAATCAAAGCATGAGAAAAAACTGTGGCCGCGGGCCATGCGTTCAAATTCGAATAGGGAAGGGGCACGGAAATAGACACACGGTCACAGGAGAGACACATAGACACTGGGGGAGGGGGGAGCACGCCATTGCTGGACAGAGATCAGAGAACATCAGAGATCCGAGATCTCAGCGATCCGAGACCCGAGGAGATCGGACATCGCCAGCATGCGGTGAGAGGACCACACAGCCACTGGAAAGGGTACACAGTCACCGGTCTGGACTATCCGACGCTGGTCAGCGTCCCACGAAGCGCAGAAACGCGGTCGCTAGGAGGCAGCCACCATACACAGCCAATGGATCGGATCATCAGAGGGCCACCTGGACCAAACACCACCTTTAATGACCTTCAATGAACCTCTCATCAGCCATGCCCGCATCCTAAGCGACAAACATCTGACTCTGATAAGATAAGTTCGACTTCAGTAAAATTAATCAGCTCCAATGTACTCTCCCCAATCAGTTCGCACTCTTATCCATTCATATCAGAGCGCCGCTGTCATGATAGCACTGCGACACTGGCCACCAGCCGACGCCCACTGTCGGGGGCAGAGCGTGCGAAGTGCAGGTCGGTGAGGGGGCTCAGCCGCGACCGGCGATTGCATGTGGCCTCGGCTCGCCAACGCCAGTCCGTCCGTGGCGACGCGTGGAGGGTACGTCCGCGAGGATCCGCGAGTGGTGTAACCCACGGGAAGCGGCGTCGCTATGAAGATCCTCGGCATCCAGTTCGCCCCGTGGCGCATCCCCTGGCAGCGGCGCCTGCAGACCTCCGTCGTCGCTTCCTGGATCTCCACGTTCGTGTTCATGGGCCTGGGCGGGCTGCTGCTGCTGGCGTACCTGCTGCTGTTCACGCGCTTCTGGTGGGTCTCGGTGGCGTACGCCGGCTGGTTCTGGTACGACAAGGACGCGTGCAACCGCGGCGGCCGGCGCTGGCAGTGGGTGCGGCGCTGGCAGCTCTGGCGCCACTTCCGCGACTACTTCCCCGTGCGCCTGGTGAAGACGTGCGACTTCAGTCCGGACGAGAACTACCTGGTCGGCTCGCACCCGCACGGCGTGCTCTGCGCCGGCGCCTTCTGCAACTTCTGCACGGAGGGAAACGACTTCTCCGGCACGTTCCCCGGCATCACGCCGCACATGCTCACGCTCGAGGGCAACTACTCGCAGCCGTTCTACCGCGAGTTGTTCATGGCCACGGGTGGCGTGGCGGCCACCAAGCGCTCGATGGAGTACCTGCTCTCGCTGCCCACGCGGGGTCATATGCTGGTGCTCGTGGTCGGTGGCGCCCCCGAGGCGCTGATGGCTCGTCCAGGAGTCAGCCAGCTCTACATCAACCGCCGCAAGGGCTTCATCAAGATCGCGCTCCGCTTCGGCGTCTCCCTGGTGCCCGTCTTCCACTTCGGCGAGACGGACGTCTACACGCAGGTGTGGAACCCGGAGGGCTCGCGCCTACGCCGCTGGCAGGAGTGGCTGATGCACTACATCGGCTTGGCCCCCGTGCTCTTCCTGGGGCGCGGCATGCTCCAGTACAACTTCGGCATCGTGCCCTTCCGCCGGCCCGTCACCACGGTCCTGGGACGGCCGATCCCCGTGCAGAAGAGCGCCGACCCCAGCCAGCAGCAGATAGACGAGCTGCACGAGCGCTACAAGGTGGCGCTGAAGGAGCTCTACGACACGCATCGGCACAAATACGCGCTGGATCCGACCGTGGAGCTGGAGTTTAAGTGAAGGCGGCCGGGCGTGAGTCGCTCGCAGTTGATGAACGTCCACTACCGCTGGTGTTCTTTTGTAGTAAGCCTGCGTGTCCGAGTGTTAAGTCTTTCAGTGTGTGGGATGTCGCATGCATTTATTGAAACGGAAATGTTGTAGCGTACTGGCAGATAGGTGGTGGCTTTTCAGCACCACCCACGTTAAGCCGTGATGTTGTCATTGTGACGCTTACTGCGATGTCGAAATCGGCTGTTTGTTGTGGTTGTAGTCGTATCTTAGTGTCTTGATAAAACGGGTCTGGTGCCCAATTGAGCCTGGATTGAGAGCGTCAGGCAAGGCTCATTGGAGCGTAGCTGGCACAGAATTGTTACGGGTGCTTCGAAAAGAGCTTCTAGGACTTTTCTAAGACTGCCGTGCCAAAACAGCCTCAGGACAACAGTATATCACATGGTGAAGGCCGTTTGCTACCTCGCCAGGCAGTCCCTGGTAAAACTGAAAGCGACTCCGCACAGGTAGTTGTCTACTCATCAGGCATACCAATGATACATACATGCCAAAGAGTATCCACTACCGGGCGGATTTCACCCCGAGAGTATTCACTACCAGGCAGATTTCACTCCGAAAGCATCCGCTGCCAGGCAGACTCCACCTTGGGAATATGCACTACCAGATAGGATTTTGGAACCGACAGTATCCATTGCCAGACAAACTTTACCCGAGGGTATCCTTTACTTAGTAGACTCCACCCTGGGAATGCCCAAGACCAGGCAGACTAACCCCGAGAGCATTTACTACCAAGCAGAATCCACCCTTGGAGTATCCACTACCAGATATGACTTCACGTCGGTAGTGTCCACTTCCAGACAGACTTTCCGCGGGAGTATCCACTACCAAGAAGGCTAACACCTAGAAGTATCCAGCACCAGCCAGACTCCACCCCGAGAGTATCCAATGCCAGATATGACTTCACACCGAGAGGGTCGACTACCGAGCGGACTCCACTCCGGGAGCCCTGCTCAACAGACGGACTCCACTCCGGGAGTCCTGCTCAACAGACAGACTCCATCCCGGGAACCCCACTTACCAGGCTGACTCTACCCCGGGAACCCCGCTCACTAGACAGACTCTACCCCGGGAACCCCGCTTACTAGACAGACTCCACCCCGGGAACCCCGCTCACTAGACAGACTCCACCCCGGGAACCCCGTTCACGAATGATTTCGGAGAAGATATGGCAAATAAGGTTATGTTGGCTGCTAAATACCATCAAAATTAAGCCCGACACCTGATTTCAAGGTTGGTGATGGCTAGATCGTTTTCGGCGGCTAGCGGGTAAGTTGATGTAATCAGCTGACGGCACATGACTAATACTGACTATATATATATATATATATATATATATATATATATATATATATATATATATATATATATATATATAATACCAAGGGTTTTTGTTTGGCTGAAATGAAGGCATGCATTTGAAGGCATTTGGCTCAAATGAATGCATACAAAATGTGGTAGGATTTAAGACGCATTAAAAACGTGATACGTATGATTGTCACAAAAATCAAAACTGACAGAAATGACATACGATGTCGGCACCGCGAAAATTTTCTTCCGACAGTTGCGCTTACAAGGCTCATCGGAACATATCCGGCTTGCTGCTCTGCAGATAAGGCGCCAAAGACAATTATCACTGTTTAGATCTCGGACTTGTACATCTTAAATATTTTACCCATTCCCGCACGCACGACCCGGCGAAAAGCCGTCGTCCTCGGAAGTGCTGTCGCTCGCAAACAAATGCGGGGTTATCGGCAGCAGCGTAAGGTACTTCTGGCTTCTTTGGAATAACCCAGGACGAATGTGGAGGGCCCCGGACCGGTCAAGAGGCCCAGTCTATTAACATTGAGGTCTGCGTCAACAGCGCAGGTCCTGCGATAAAACGGGAAAATCCAAGATCAATAGAGGCTGCAGCAGAGCGACCGAGAGATCGTGGGTACAGCGGCAGGTCAGCAAAGAGACTTCTGTCAACAGTGTAGGGTCCTCAGAGCAAACTGAAAAAAACTATGACCGATGTACACGTGCCCAAGACCGATGCGGCAGGCCACCGCCCGACCAAGAGTGACCGGGCAGGTTCTCAGAAAGGGTACCGACATGTCCAGGGTCATCTGAAAATGCGAGGAAATGGATGGAGGCCAATATAGAGGACCCCTGAAACATCGAGTGCCTTGGTGCCTTAACTTATGTGGACCCCAGCAACAACATAGAACTCTCCGAGCAAGTGTGGAAAACCCGACACCAATGTGAATGGCCCCTGAACAACCGAGATTACCCCTGTAGTTTGAGATATGGGGCCTCTGATGCTAACGCATGAGTCTTTAGGGCGAATGGGAAGGATCCCTGGAGGCCCCCGAGCGATCAAAAGTGCCGCAACAGACAAGCACATTGGGACCCGACAACAAAGTGGGGCCCTCCAAGCAAGTACAAAGAAATAAAGGGCTTGGCGGAGGGCTCCTTAGTGATCGGATTGACCTGGCAAGTTGACAAATAGGACCCCCGGCAAGGGTTAGGTTCTCTGGATAGCGAAGTGAGCCTTAAAACCATCTTTATCACTATTCTCTCAATCAGTAAACAATTATTTGTGTCTGTATATGTACTCTTCAATTTCGGTTGCGCTATTCTTGTTTGCCGGGAGGTTTGAAGACAACCAATTTTGTTGGCTTGTGTTGAAGAAAACTGGGTCTGTCAGACTAGTTATGGACCTCTTCGGTTATGAACACCTTTGGGCCTAAGGGCGAAACATGGCCCGTGGCCTCCTCTGGATCCACCACTGAATACACCAGTTCCCCCTCTAATGCGGGTTCCTCTGACTTGGCAGTTGGCCCCAAATCTACGTAAGTCGAACGTTAAGAGGCACATTATTGTTCCTGGGCCAGGCCTGAATGGCCATTACTTCCCAACGCGGATTGTCTTCCGGTTCCCACTTTAGTGGCACGGGGCGGAATCACCCGGTCGATCCGGAAGCCCTTGGAGGGATACATCCTATCACATTGGTCTCATCAATGCGCGAGAGGCCTTCTGGCCCGCGCAGTTGACACCGGATCGACGTAAGAACTGTTATTATCGCAAGAAGATCCTTATCTCCACAGGTGGTCCCATAAGTGGCGCAGAGACTCCAGTTCACATTTTCAACCGGCTTTAGCTGAAAGGTGATGGGTGGCCCCGAATTTCACATAGGATCATAAGATCACATACTTACTCCTTCCCTCAATTTTCGTGTAAAATCTACGTTTTTGTGTTCTTCCTAGCACAAATGTAGCTTTTGGTTGGTTGGGCCCCAGCCCCAGACTCCCGTTTCACGCTTGCAATTCTGATTTGTCTCTCCCATGACAAACGGTTACTTTTATCTCGCGTTGCAACCGCCGCTTGCGTAATACCCTGCTAATGAGATACTTGGCTCTAAATGACGTCATGCTTAGGTGTTTGCCAGTCCGTACAACGTCATAAGTAGAGAAACACGCTTGATCTTCACATCTTTAGGAGAGTTGTCATCAGGAGCATGGATAATATGTTTCATAGAACTGACTTAGTGGTCTGGTTGGTCTTGCAGTGATGTCATCATCAGCTGATTTGACGGCGCATTATTTGCACTCAATGCCATGAGTGTGCCGCATCCACCAGCAATTTTGCATCCGGACAGCATCATCAGCCGCAAGGTAAATGCCATTATGTATTTATAGATTCTTAACGGCTAGATATTCAACCCATGATGGAGGAGTAGCGCATTGAATCTAGTTATGAAAGGAGCATCCATCCATGGTACTGAAAAGAAGCCATGGTCAGCAATCGCAGGGCACAAGTTGACGGACTAAGTTGTGTACTAATCTGTGCATTTAGGCCCATGTGACCAAATATTTTGACTAAGATTTTTATCAGCAAGGTATTACGGGTGTTTCGACTGAAACACAAGCATTTTTATTATGATGCTGGTACACTTTATCTCAGAAAATCAACTCAGGAGCTGTAGTTTTCCACTAGTTTGTGCTGGTTTTGACTAGCAAAGAAAACACGGGTGGGAGAGCGGGAATTAGTTTAAGGCTGCTGAAATGAAGTAACAATAATAAAAGTGCCAAAGTGCACCTTAATGTTTGATGCTACCATTGATATGGTAGCAAGGCATGGTTTTAGCTCTTGTGTGCACCTGTAGCAGCTGCTATAAGAAACAGCCTGGCTGTTAGAGTTAATTCATGGATGATTTCAACCTAGACTAGGTATTTATTCAATGCTGACTTGTAAGCATCTTCAGCATAATTAATCCCATCTCACACCCCTGCTGCAATAGCTGACATTGACCAGCTAGATCAATATAGTTGCACATCCAGTATAGCAATACAGAACATCTAGGCATAGACACTGATTGGTGTAGACCCTTGGGCAGCGGGCTTGGGGCAGCTGTGTGAGAACAGTCCCCTGCACCACAGTTGATCCATGCTCACTCCTCTTGCCACTTGTGTCATAGAGAAGGGGAGGAGCTATTGGTTGCCTGCTCCTGCTCCTTTTTGCTGCTTGAATGACCAGTCAGGCTGGGTTGAACATGGTGGAGTAACTTCTTAACTGGTGAATGGTGAGCTGCTGACTGGTGGGCAGTGAGCTGCTTATTGATGAGTGGTGAGCTGCTGAGTTGTGAGCATAAGGGCAGAGCCCTGTGAATGTAAGGAGAGAGTAGCAGAACCACTGACTTTCCAAACAGTTGTCTTGATTCTTCCTTTATGCCATTGTCACACTGTTCGAAGATTTCAGAGCATCAATGTGTAGCAATTTGCTCTGTCCTCTTGGCATAACTCCAGTGCTATTTGTGGGGTGCTAAAGATTTGAAGACTGAGGAAAACTCAACCAATTATGTGCTTAGCTGGTAGGCTCTGTTATCTACAAAATGGAGAGCTGCTTTCTCTCCTGGGTGCTCTATGCTCATTGTGGGGGTTGTGGTAAATTGGGGTGTCAGGCTGTCACTGCTGACATGTCAGGCAGTGTCACTGCTGACAGACTATGTCACCGCTGGTGTGTCAGGCGGGTTCCCATGCAGTCGTGGTGGCATCTCAGCCACCCGCTGCTACCAGCGACCCAGCAACGGGGTCTTGTTAGCATGCTTTATAAACAAATTTTCCGCCGCGATTAACTTTGCGGCGGAAAATCTCCCAAACATTTGGCGCTCGGCCAAATTTTCCCCGCACCTACTTCTTTCCACCAATCACAAGTCTCGCCAGTGGTGGATCCACGAGGGGGGGGGGGGGGCACGGCACAATGTTGTGGCCTCCGCACCGCATCGCATCGCATCGCATCGCATCGCATAGCACCGCACCGCACCGCGCCGCTCCGCACTACACTCGGCCGGAAGTTTCATCCCACGTCTCCTCGCGCGAACGGCGTCGTGCTTGTGCTCAGGTCTAAAACCTGAAGCTATTTTTGTGCTATGGTGAATTGTAATTCAGAAGCATTCGCTATCCAGGCTATGACTTGAAGGTGGTGGAGCAGACGAGTTTCGCGCCACTGCGTGTGTGTCGCACCAAACAGTGTGTTTGGAAGCAATGAACGCGTCTATCACCACTCTTACGCCCAGCGTACTTCCATACCATCTTCCGCACTGCGTGATTCACCACGCCGTGCAAGCCCAGCTCCCGCGCCGAAGAACAAACCCCGCGGGCCAGACGCGGCCAAGCGCACCATCGCGTCTGAGAAGCGCGCCGCCGCGGCTGTCTGCGGGCCGCCGCGCGCTGGGCCTCGGCCGTCCCTTTGTGCCGGCGCGGTGTATCGGTTACGGCGCGGCGTGCGCCGCCGTGCCTGCCGCGTGCGGCCGCGGCGCACCGTCACGCCGCGGCGCCAGGCGGCGATGGCCGCCCGGTGCAGAGGGGGTGACAGGCGGACTGGAGCGCAGGCTGCTGTTGGTGCGCTGGGCCAGCTGGTGTAACGCGTGGTGAGCGCGGCCGCGCTGGTCTGCTGTGTTGACGTGCGCGACTGTGCGCTGGCCTGCTGTGCTGACGTGCGCGACTGTACGCTGGCTGCTGTGCTGACGTGCGCGACTGTAAGCGGGCTGCTGTGCGCTTGACCCTCTCCTGTGGTGGCTGCTGGTGTACCCGAGGAGGCGGTTTCAGTTTTTTAAACGCTGTCATGGCGTTGCTTTCGTTGCCCGTGACGTGACATAGACGTGGGAAATATGCAATGCTTTCGTAGCCTTTTCGGAGCAGCCGGCGGCGTCTCCGTCGGCGTCCACGCTTTTAACGTGACAGCCTCTGGCGCTATGGCGTGAATCGCTTGGCCGCGATGCAACCGGACCCTCTGTTTTTAGGCCGCTCCTATCCCCCGGTTGGCGCCCTTCGCACGGCCGCCAGCCTCAGACGTTCACGCGGTAATGGCTTCATTAACCGCGTTCGCAGACGGCAGCCTAGCTCCGCCCGTCCTCTTCACTGGTACTTGCAACATTGAGGCTAATTCTGCCGGTCTGCGCGGCGGTGATAAAGGTGCAAATGTCGCCGCGAGGAATGTGCTGATTCTCTTATCCACTTGTTTGTTACCCCCCTCCCCTTGTTTCAGGTTGGC